GGGGGTGTCAGCAACTTCAAGCCAGGTGAGCTAAAAACTGGAATGTACTCTAAATAAACCGCGAAAGTTTATTTAGAGTACCGCAAAAGCTTATTTAGAGTTCACTACGTTTTTTGTGTTATAGCTCCATAAAATAAAAAATAAATTCAGGTTAACCCTTGTAATTTAATCTACTATACACAATCCCTGTGGAAATCGACTTTTATTGATGTATTTTTTTCTCTTAGAAATTGTAATGCCGCTGTATCAGTCAATCAAAAGCGACGTTACAAACCGTGACTTCATTTTTTACGTTATGGGCTGATAACATAATTTAATTAAAAAGCTTGCTACCAGCAAGATTAAATTGTTTGGTTATAATGATACTTGGAGGACACATTTTGTCAGAATGATCCTTCCCATATCTTTGGTTGCAAGATAGACACCATGACCTCTGATTATTGAGAGTTGTAAAACATTGTTTGATTCACAAAATGTAAACTATTAGTGTAAACAGGTAAGAAAAATCTGCTTTTGTATGTTATAAGCCACTTACCATCTCAGAATGCATGTAGACCTCAAGGTATGTCTTACAAAGCCTTCTGTCCCAGTCATCTGTAATGTGTCCTCCGTACATGATCTCGCCAAACAGATAGCGGAGATCTTCCCATGGAACCTTCGCATTAGCTTCCAGGTAGTTGTACAGCACCATGGCACTGATCGTGAGATCTCCAGTGTTGTAGGGATACACCCTGTTCCAGCCCTGAGGGCCAAACTTACGCCGCTCACATACCACAGCGTGGAAATAGCACAATGAGAACAGGATACTCTTAAACTCTGTCTCTCTAGCACACATTTCCATGGTGTCCTATGCAATTAGAAATAAAAGGAATTATTTTCTCTCTACAAGTAATGAAATTATGATTATTCCATTCTCATGATATCATCATGAAGAAGTGAAATAGAAATTTAGAATATTAAATCCACACTAATCCTATATACAACATTACCTGGTTGAAGTTATCTAGGGCCTTGTGCAGGTTGGCAAACATTCCTGTTGGAGGTTCATTTGTGATTTTTATAGCAGACTCAAGAATGCCCTGTGGGATGATGTGGTATTCCGGGGAACCTGCTGGCTCTGCACTAATGTACAGTCTGTAACTTTCATGACTCTCCTGACTGTAAATCTCCATTTTCTTCTCCAACGTTGACAGCCACTTTGCTACCAAGTGGACATTCTATTGAGGATATAGGATAATGAAATAAATCAGATGTCATAATACAAACCAACCTCATGAAAAATAAGTCCTTTAATACAATGTTTATAGTGGGCATATTCTACAGAAGGGATAGTTACCCATAATACAAAACATTGACCCTAACCTTCAGTAATAGTTACCCAGAATACAACCCAGTGACCCTAACCTTCAGTAATAGTTACCCATAATACAAAACAGTGACCCTAACCTTCAGTAATAGTTACCCATAATACAAAACAGTGACCCTAACCTTCAGTAATAGTTACCCATAATACAAAACATTGACCCTAACCTTCAGTAATAGTTACCCATAATACAAAACATTGACCCTAACCTTCAGTAATAGTTACCCAGAATACAAAACAGTGACCCTAACCTTCAGTAATAGTTACCCGGAATACAAAACAGTGACCCTAACCTTCAGTAATAGTTACCCGGAATACAAAACAGTGACCCTAACCTTCAGTAATAGTTACCCGGAATACAAAACAGTGACCCTAACCTTCAGTAATAGTTACCCGGAATACAAAACAGTGACCCTAACCTTCAGTAATAGTTACCCGGAATACAAAACAGTGACCCTAACCTTCAGTAATAGTTACCCGGAATACAAAACAGTGACCCTAGCCTACAGTTAAGGTTGTCCATAACACAAAACAATGACCCTAGCCTACAGTTAAATACAGTTCCCTCAGTAGTAGTACATAAATAATTCTGTAATCTTAGTCTAGTGGGAAACATTGACCCAGTTATCTTAAGGTATTCCATGTATAATACACATTATTTTGGAAGCGAAAAAAAAATCAAAAAAATCCAAAAACGCGACCGAAGTATATCCCAAACTTTTATGAACTTTTACCGCATATTTTTCTAGTTTTGATGCATTTTATATGTACACTCCGCTGGGTCCGCTTTCTGTTCAAGTTAGGGTTAACCCTAACCCTGTCCAATAAAATTACAAAAACCTTCTATATGCAGACAGTTATTACTTTATTCACTTTTTGCAAACCATTTACTTTTATATACAGACAAATTTGTCAAACATTGTAGATTACAAATATGAAATTTTTTACTCTTTCCAGAAATCCAAAAAAATAAAAATTGCATTTATTTATATTCAATATTGCCATGAAATTAAAATTCATGTACTCAATTTTTCATGGTAAATGATGGAAAAAATTATTTGTACAACAAATTATAACAGATATAGATGAAAAACCAAATTTGTTTTCTTGCAAAATCTCTTTACAATGCAAAAAACGTAATAAATCAAAATTTTACCATTTGAATTTTGAAAAAAAATGCATAGTTACGTCCCCCACCCCCCCTCCCGGTTTTCCCAGGGTTTCCCCACCGGGCGGTAACTCATACCGAAAATGACGTCATGATTAGGGGGAATTCCCACNTAATTGAAAGTAATGTGCTCAAAGTACCATGATTGTCTTAATACATCATCTAACAATTCAAATATATGAATACATCAATCTCTTCCTATGTCAATTTCGAAAAATAATGATATTTTAGCCTGCATGTTTTGTCGATTTGGTCAACCACGTAGAAATCTAACGAGTCTTATTGCAAAAAAAGGTAAGGGAGACATAGCAAAACTTCAAATTATATTAAATTAACCATACACAACTGAACAGGACAAAACACTTCACCTTAAAATTATTTCGCAAATAACAAATAGTCGCCATTTGTTTACAATCAGGGTTTCCCCACCGGGCGGTAACTCATACCGAAAATGACGTCATGATTAGGGGGAATTCCCACATTACAATGTTTCCCGATGTTAGCCGATGTTTGCAGACTTCATTATACATGGAATACCTTAATGTGCCCCCTACATTGTGAGTAAGCTCTACGATGACCCAGACCTATAACTTGAAAACAGCCCAGCAAGCCTAGCTTGCACTGAGAAGATGTTACCTGTAAGACGACCCAGTGACCCTCCTTGGCAGACAGATCCATAGCTTGCTCGGCCACCACCTCCTGACCCTGACCTAGGGAGATGTTATGGAAGTTGTTGTTATCTTCTGTAAATCCAAGCTTCTTTCCATGAGCTTCAACATCCTTCAAAGGGTTCACTCCTGGAGAAAGGATGAAAAAGATTGGGGTGCCAGGACCAGATTCTTCATAGGATGTAGCAAAGTCCACAGATCTGCCCTCAACAAATTTGGTACCCATCTTTTCTTCCACAAAGTTCCTGTAAATTTTTGGGAATGTCTTAAAAGACATATCTTATTACACAAGTCTACATTGATATCTAATAAGAGGATCAAAAATGCCTACATACTATAACCACTTGGCCACCACAGCCCGTCTGTATCTATATCTCGACTAGTGATAATGTATTGAACAAGAGGCCCAGAGGGCCTGTATCGCTCACCTGGAAATGTTAGCAAAATTGAAGTTGTAATAGCCAAATGTAACTGTACATGTATTACATGGTTAGTCAGGGGTTATATCTACTGTTCAAATTTGGTCAAAATAACTTCATCCCAATGGAAGAAAAAGGATATTAAAGCTATTCCTCTACATCCCTTATTGGGCCCGCCTATCTGCCCCCAGGGGGATGAGGCCCACCGTTTATAAAATATTGGTTCCCCTTCACCAAAGGGTGCTTCATACCAAATTCGGACAAAATCCGGTCATTCCTACAGCAGGATTTTGATGAATTTGCTATTGTTCCCCTATTGGGCCCTGCCCCTCTGCCCCCAGGGGGGCCACAATCACCATTTATACAAAATTTAGTCCCTTTTACCAAGAATGCTTCAGACCAAATTGGGATGAAATCTTTTATTCCCTATGGTAGAAGGAGGATTTTTAAGCTTTTACCTCTATTTGCCCTATTGGGCCCCACCCCTCTGTCCCCAGGGGAGCCACACCCACTGTTTATACAAAATTGAGTCCCCTTGGCCCTAGGATGCTCCAGACTAAGTTGGGATAAAATCCCTTAATCCCTACGGTAGAAGAAGGATTTTAAAGGTTTAACCTCTATTACCCCTATTCAGCCCGCCCCTCTGCCCCCAGGGGGTACACACCCACCGTTTATACAAAATTGAGTCCCCTTGGCAGTCGAAGAAGGGTTTTAAAGGTTTTACCTCTATTTCCCCTATTCGGCCATGCCTCCTGCTCCCAGGGGGGCCACACCAACAGTGTTTACAAAATTGTGTCCCCTTTGCCCAAGAATGCTTCAGACTAAATTAGGATAAAATTCCTTAATGCCTACGGTAGAAGAAGAATTTTAAAGGTTTTACCTCTATTACCCCTATTTGGCCCCGCCCCTCTGCCCCGCAGGGAGGCCACACCCACCGTTTATACAAAATTGAGTCCCCTTGGCCCAAGAATGCTCCAGACTAAATAAGGATGAAATCCCTAAATGCCTTCAGTAGAAGAAGGATTTTAAAGGTTTTACCTCTATTTCCTCTATTTGGCCCCGCCCCCTCTGCCCCCGGGGGGCCACACCCACCATTTATACAAAATTGAGTCCCCTTCGCCTAAGGATGCTCCATACCAAATTTAGTCAAAATCTACTTGGCCGTTCAGGACACGTAGCGTTTTAAAGGAAAAGTTGAAGGACGGACGACGAACGGATGACGATGGTCCGAAGGACCAGGTGAGCTAATAAAAATTTAACAATGTCAAGTTCTTACCATACCAGGAGCTGTATAATTCCCTCCAGGACTTCAAACAGGAATATTTGTAAAACATTTTGCAACAAGAATAATATCTTGCTGCAAGTGAGACCCTTACAATTGAGTACATTATATGTATACTTGAAAAGAAATAATCAACTATCAGATAGTGGTATGCTAATTAGTTAGCTGCTCAATGCTGAATTTGGCCTTTTCAGATTGTAGTTGCTGAACAAGTTTCATGAAGATCTGATGATATTTGGGAAGTTATACAAAATTGAGAACCCTTTGGCCAATGTTGCTCCCAACCAAGTTTGGTCAAAATCCTTTTAGCCATTAAGGACTAGTAGCGTTTTAAAGGAAGAAAGTTGGCGGACGATAGACGACAGACCCTGCGCCATGGCATAAGCTCATAAGCTTGATTCTTTCCTTTTGATATGAAATTTATAAATATTTTATTGACTATGAAATAAAAATTGTTGTCTGTCTTTTATAATTAAAAAAACCAAATAATAGCCATGATTCTTTATGTGGCTATTTGGAACCTATAAAAAAATATGCACTTTTGAGCATAAACCCATTTCCCCATTTATGCAAAGTGAACACAGTTTTTGGGTTTATACTGTATAACCCCATCTGGTTATTAATATATGGAACAAGCTTAAGCATTATTCATTATGTTATAGTTCAAGAATTTCTGAAGGATGTTCTGACAATACTGATCAAGCTAATGTTACATACTTGACAGCATATGTCATTCTGTCTGGACGGAGTGCACGCATCATACACAGTTTCTGCAGAGTTGTCTTGTTCTTCCACTCCTGAGGGAACTTTTCCTTTTCAGGACACTCGCTCTCTACAAACTTTTTCCATCGTTTGGCAGACCCTTCAATGTCTCTGTCCAAGTTTCTAAACTCATCCATGTTCGCCATAGCCTGTAGCAGAAATGTTTGTTTATGAGTAATTGCAATGGCCTGTCCCAGACATGGTTGTATGTTATAGTGTTTGTATGTTATAGTTGACCATGCCCTGGAGCAGACATGTTTGTATATTATTGTTGACCATGACCTGTAGCAGTAATGTTTGTATGTTATAGTTGACCATGCCCTGGAGCAGACATGTTTGTATGTTATTGTTGACCATGACCTGTAGCAGACAGGTTTGTATGTTATAGTTGACCATGACCTGGAGCAGACATGTTTGTATGTTATTGTTGACCATGACCTGTAGCAGACATGATTGTATGTTATAGTTGACCATGACCTGTAGCAGACATGTTTGTATGTTATAGTTGACCATGACCTATAGCAGACATGTTTGTATGTTATTGTTGACCATGACCTAGAGCAGACATGTTTGTATGTTATAGTTGACCATGA